TTTAGGGTTTAGGGGTTTAGGGGTTTTGGGGTTTTGGGGTTTAGGGTTTAGGCTCAGAATTCCATGGGTTGAGACCTCCCAATCTGCTGGTGCCGTCCTAGACAAGAGCATGGTCAGCCCTTTAAGCTCCAGCTGGGGCAGCGGCGGTGGCGAAGTAGTCCTGCGCATTCTCTGTGCATACGAAGGTCCCCCCCACCACTTTTGCAGCTGAAGGCTTGAGGCTGGGGGGCTCCAAGCTGAAGAATCTAGAACCTAGATTTCAGTGTTTAGGGTTTAGGGTTTAGGGTCTTATGACAAACCTGCTAGGCCCTCAACCACAGCTTTCACAACTGCCAAGTTATGGTTCTTTCTCGAGGTATGTCCTTCTCAACAGCCGCCAAGGTATGGTTCTTGCCCCCCCTTGCTTTTGGACACTTCTGACCGACAACGTTCCAGGAACATTCTTGGAACTGTTCAGACGACCTCTTACCCTCATAGCTCAGCCGACCCCAGTGGTCAGCATGTGTAAGCAGCCACAATGTCGAAAGCAACCCGATGCCATCGACATCACTTGCGTCCTTCCAGATGCGCCTCGCTGTCTCGTGGCCACCCAGGTCGTAGGTGCGAAAGCGAATGTTCTTGATCATAAGCTCCTCGGAGTTGAAGGTTTAGGGTTTAGGGTTTCGGGCATAGGGATAGCCATATATATATATATATATATATTTCTTGGGAGGTTCCCCCTTAGGATTATAATAGGGGGAGCGATAATATCCCTAGTATACGGGGGAACATCCCCAGCTACATAGTCTAACCAATTGGGTAGTTCCGCAACAGTTCTCCTCAGAGTGGGGGTGGAGCGTTGGGACGTGCGTGGCGATCCGGTCGTCCTCGAGATGGTGAGATGGCTGGGCATGAAACTGGGGCACGACACATAACAAGCGAACCGTTTCTTGCAGCGAGTCGTCTCTGCGCATCCTGTCGGCGCTTCTCTCTTCTGACCTAAACCCGGAATTCTCGTGGAGTATCGCTTCATCTCAATGCCGGACACCCGCAAACAGTCCTTCAGCATGTGAAGGAGCGTGGTCTTGCCGGCATTGTCCAGTCCTCTCCCACTCTTCCAGGAATGCAGGGGATATCTAACTCCCCTTAGAACCTTAATAAACATAATATTTTCAATATCCTCTTGGGGTTTATCTAAAAAAAATTCCCAAGGGGGATATAGACATTCTCGGGTCCGGTTCAACTCAGGGGCTTTGAAGGGCTCGGCCCATGAAGTATACCAGCAACAGGGAAGTTTGGACCCCAAGCCTCGCACTACAGTGCCTCCTTCTCCTGCTTGTATTTAGGGTTTCGGGTTTGGGGTTTGGGGTTTAGGGTTTAGGGTTTAGGGTTTTTGGGATGAAGTCCCAGCATCCCCCCCCACGATGCAAAAGCTTCCCACGAACACGATTTTTGCGCTATCGAGATACTCAAGCGCACGGCCTCAATCTACCTCACTACCCTTTCGAGCCCGCAGATGTGTCCACAGCGCAAAGACGAAGGGGTTTATAAGAGACATCATTTATGAGAAACAGCTATCTGAGACAGGGTCCTAGGAATAAGATCTTCGCGTTCTTGTTTCCAAGTCCCAGGTAACCGAGCACGTCGAAAAACCTCCAGCACAACTTCCAGATTTCACTGGTTTCATTGGCATGTGCCATGCGCAGGAGATGGGTCAGGGATGCGTTTGGGCTGTTCTTTCCATGGTCTTGGCTGTTGAACTGCTTTTGAGCTGCAACATGTCCTTTGATTTCAGTCAACCTGGACGATTTAGCTCACCTGTTTTGCAGCTGACTGTGCAGCCAGGCAGCCAGTTCACAATGAACATGCCGACCTTTGGCGGTGCGAAGAAACTCTTAACCTCTTTGGACTCACTGCGACAGAGTGCCAATCCCAAGTTGGAATCTTTCAATACATTGCTCGCTGGGCACGGAGAAGCCTCTGCTCGACACTCTGTGGGCTCATCCGACTAATTGCCAGTCAAGTCACAAGCAGGGTGCCAGCAGGCTTTCCTCTACTCACCAATGGCAAGATGACTGAGCCGTTTGCTGCGGAAGATCCTTGACCAATCCGTTGGCCGTAGTGCTGAGATCCACGCACTACATGCAATCGATCAAGTTCCAACTACTCCCCCGCATCTTCGAAGATGACATCAAGAAGCAGGCCTTGTGGTCCCGATTTTGAGAAACGTTCGCTTCCCAGATGACAAATCGCAAGCCCTGGCCCCTGAGGTTCAAGAGTAACTTCAAAGACGACTTAAGCCGCCTTTTTCCCTGTCTTACCTTCCACGCACCAGCATCCTCTGTTTGTGGGGGGGTTCGTGACATTTGCTTGTAGGACTTGCGGTTGCCATGCTTTCAAACCTCCTTTCAGGTTTGACTAGGGTTTTCAGGGTTTTAGGGTTTCAGGGTTTCAGGGTTTCAGGCCAGAAAAGGGTCTTAGGGTTTTGGGCCAGTTTAGGGCTTTAGGCATGTCTCGGCCAGATGGTTCCGCACTGGTGGGAGGTGGCGGCCGGTGTCCTTCCCACGTAATGTCGCACCTCTTCAGCTTCTATCCCCTCCCGTGGGACAATTGCCACGACTCTTCAGACTTACACCTGAACTGTCTTAAGCTTGTCCCAACGTCCAAAGGTCCCAGATCCGACTTGATGAAAACGGCTGCGGCACAATCTTGCATTGATGATGGGCAGATACGGGTAGTTATGATGAGCATCTTGCACTCGTCCGCACATGGATCAGTGCTTTTCTGGAGCATCGCCCATGCAACTTGCAGATCAGCCGAGGCGCATCCGAGGCTTTTGCTCGGTGGGGTGCGCAAGTGTTGGCCTGAGGGCATGCACCATCCGGATTGTTCGCGGCGTCTGCGTCGTTCGATGGTTGCCCGGTGTCCTAAGCTACCCATGCCCCGGCAAGATGTACCCAAGTTGCTACACGCAGTTCCTGCCCGCTAGCACCATTTACCATCGTGGGGTCCTTTGCAAACGTGCCGGACAAAAAGATGGCGCTCGGCATATAACCGCCAGGCTCACTTACACATGTATCAACGGAACAGATCCAACCGATTCCAACAGCATCGTCACAGCATGCTGAAGCACAGCCCAGTGTCTGGAGCGCACCGGGCCGTATGATCCGGGAAATCGTGGGCACCGTGGGCACTGAGGCAGCGCGTGCTAGCAGGGTAGTTCCCGAGGTTGCGCCTTGCGCTACAGGGGCCGCCATCAGCCGCGCCTGATGGTAGCTGTATGCTCCTGCTGCACTTTGCCACTGGGCAGGCCGTTGTGCTGTAGCAGTTGCCCTTGGAGTTTGCGAGGGTATCGGTATCGGCTGTATGGGTGTCGCGATGCAGGATGCCCGTCTGCTGGTAGAGCAAATCGGTGGCGCAACGCTCGGCCTGGCAGCTGGTTTATAAGCAAGCATGCGACGGGTATAAATATTCCGATTCTTCACCCTAGTTATCCCGAGTTGCTTGACCAGCCTTGGCGAGAAGCCAATTCCATGCTGGGCCTTGGGCGGATGACCCGGCAGTGCAAACGGCATCATCAAGTTGCCAGTGCTGACCTCAATGACGGCTTCTGCTAGAACCAGCATCGTTCAGTGGCGTTCAAAGGTCTAGGATGGTGGGATTTGGGTGATTCCGCAACTTACCTGGGCCAACTTCGTGGTGCAGGCCTCTCAGCCTTTGTTGCGTCCAGGACCGTGCAGCTCAGTGTGGCCAATGACGTCTATCTCTGCGCGGTTGATTGCATGCCAGGCCCGTACGTGACCCCGTCCCGGACTCTTTGTGCCAGCAGAAGCTGACACGAAAAGAAAAGCATGGCCGTGTTGCAGCTGTAGTTTCTAGACTTGTTGCCATTGGGATTCTGCAGCGGTACTTGCGACAGAGTCCTACGCAGTTGCTCTGACCAGCTGGTCTGTCAGACTTGCTCATACTCCATGGGCACATCATTTTCGTCGAACGACGGGTGCTGGAAGGTGCAGGTGGCGCAAGTGGTGCAAGTGTTGCAGAGTCTCTATTTCTCCCTCCCTCTCTCCTTCTAAGGTCTCTCCCTCTCTCTCTCGCTCACAAGTTGCCTGAGAATAGTGCGGAGGAACCTTTCTGCATTCGAGATCTGGAGCCTGCAAGGCTCACTGCTTCGGAGCTCGGACTCTTGAAGATTCAGGCGCGCTCGCTCCCTCTCTCTCGCGTTCTTCTCCTTCTTCATATGATTATCTTTCTTCTTCTGCTTCTTCTGCTTCTTCTTCTCTTTCTTCTCTTTCTTCTTCTTCTTTTCCTGATTCTTCTTCTTCTTCTTCTTCTGATTCTTCTTCTTCTGCTTCTTCTTCTTCTGCTTCTTCTTCTTCTGCTTCTTCTTGGCTTAGAGGGCCCGAAAAAACTCCCTGCGCGCATGCGTACCCGAAGTTCAGCGCCTCGTTTTTACTAGAGACCTCTCCTTACTCATTGCTGCTTCATACCCTAACATATACATCTTGTTGGGTTCCCCCGACGGCCTCTAGCGGGTCATCGCCTCGATCTTTCCTCCCGGGTGCGACACGACTGGCCCGTGATCGTTATCATGTTGTTTCTTGGGCCAATCTCGCTCAGCCACCCGTTTAGGACAGAGGCCCCCGACGCCCCATTCTGCTCATTAGCATAAGTTTGGACCTTCTCTTTCGCTCTATCTCTCTCTCTCTCTCTCTCTCTCTCTCTCTTTCTCTCCCACATGCATGGACGCCCCCAGGGGCGCGTGATGTCCGATGTCCAGTCTGTTGGCGCGACCGCTTTTTTCGCGGGTGCGTGGTGAGAAAGCAGTATGGGGTTGGAGTTCGAAAGCGCTTCACCAAGATGTTCCGCCCAATGATCCCCCGAGCTACAAGCCCCTCTGTGCTCCCCTTTGACTGCTGAGACTATTCAGGCCCTTGCATCTGTTTGTGGGCCTCTCTCTCTCTCTCCCTCTCTCTCCCACTCTCTCCCTCTCGCTCGCAGTCTATTTTCGAGATTTGCATCCTCATGCCACTCCACTGAGCGCGTAGCTTTACAGGGCCGGCAAATGCATTGCAGTTGCTTGCAGACGTGGTGTGTGAAAACTTATGAACTTGCTGTCAAGCGGCAGTTTGGCGTAATGTACCCTGTACCGGTAAGGCATGGCGCGTGACCTCTGCCTGCACCAAAGCAGAAGTTGACAACAAACTTGAATCCTGCGCACAATGACTCACTCTGTCCTACTGCTCAAAGGTTCTTAACGTCAGCATAAACACAGCGCCACTAACAAATTGCACAACATATACACGCTGTTCACTGCACAACAAGCACGGCGCATACTATCAGAAAATTGTCAGAGCAGTAGTTTGAAACCTTTCAGACTATGAAGAAGTCCATGCAAACCTTGGGCATCTCCACGCACTCCTGAGGGGCAGAGTTCTCCTCGGCCGTCCACACGCAGAGCAACATGCGATGACTTGCACGGCTGATAGCATTCGTGCGCAGACGGCCGGGCGGCAGCTCACATCTGTACAAGCATGTTTGCATGAAACCCTAAACCCTAAACCCTAATAGCACCGAACTCTTCTTGCACCCATGCGAAATCATGAAAGTGCAGGGTGCTCTTCTTTGCTTCCCAGTGTCCTTAGCG